TGGTCGTTTCCATTCGATTCTTGTTCCCGAAAACGATGATCCCTGCATTACCACCCTTGCTGGGGCAGGTGCTTGCAAGCCTTTGCGACCATCTGAGTGCGGAAGCAGGGCGCACCACAACTCAAACTATGACTATGACTCCTCCCCCTAGCACTCCCTGAAGACTCAAAAGAATACTCAAAGCCTTGTTGTAAGCCTAAAGCGGTCCGCTACTTCTGCATCAGCGCAAAGTTGCCCACCATGCCCATCAAAATTATTTGAAGCAAGCCGAGGTAAGGGTGCCAAGGAGTCGCACAGCAGGAAGAAATGCGAATCCCATTGCGCGGGCTCAGTGATGGCACGTCTTTCTTCTCACGTGCCGGCCGTGCTTCGCTTCATTCGACATGGGCTGCACAGACGGCCTGAACCAGGTGATGTCCCTGTTCGCAGCAGCGCACTGGAGGCAGCGCGTGCCCTGCAGCGCGCTGGAGTCGGCGGCCATCCAACCGCGATGGCTACCGCGACTTTCGCAGCGCTGTTTACTGACCATGTGATGCAGCGCAGCGCTGGCCGTCTGCTGCAGTCCCTGGCCCGCGCAGAGCCACAGGCGCGCAGCTTTGCAGGGTTCAATGGGATGCCCTTGCTCTTCTATCAGCGAAACAACGCTTCTCTGCGACGTGGGAGGCGGTGGCCGTAGCACTTCCTCGTGGCAGCCTGTCAGCATCAGTGCTGCGCCAGTATTCAGATTAAAACTTTTCTGCAGGAGACCTGGCATGTCCATTTGTTTGCGAAAAGACTTGGAATCGCGTGCTGAGGCCTGCGGGAAGGCTTTGCTGCCTTGTTGTGGCTGGCTCCGCAGAAGCTGGCAGCAGCCTTGGCAAGTTCCCATGCAAAGAATACTGTGCCCTCAACCTATCTTAGTTGAGCTCTCCATTGCCAAGTTGCTCGGCGCAGCTGGCCCCAGTGATGTTTGCTCCAGTGCCTTTGCCGCGTCTGGACTCTTGACAGCAGCCAGACGTTTCGCCTTTGGACTTCAAGCTGCTGAGCTTCGTAAGCTTGATGGCTTCTAAGGTCGGGGTGCCCGTGCCAAGTGGATTCGTGCAATGCTAGCGGAGCTGCAGTGTGCCTCGAATGGTTTTCAGAATTCCCTTAACTAGTGTGACAGTTTGCGGCCGTGTCTAGCACCTAGCAGGAAGGTAGGAAAGCCTTCTCATTGTCATTCAGTTCAGCCGAGCTTGCAAGCGATGCTGACAGCAGGCCCAGACTTCTGCGAAGGCGGGCTAAACAGCTCAGAGTTCTAAGGACTGCTAAGCAAATGGGAGCACGATGTCTTGCCAGCCTGGAAAAGTTGTCTTCTCGTGGGCGTGGGAGAGAGTCATCGTGGACATTGCTGAAATCATGCAGGATCTTTTCAGCCATCATAGGATTATGGCATGTATCATTATCATCGCAAGGATTGCACGTGTTACTTCTTGCGACAGACGTCAGGCGACTTTCCACCACTGCCATCAGACTTCTCCAGCCGAACCCTTCGCCGTTTGGCGCCCTTTGGCGGACGGAGAAAAGCAGAGGCCGCGGGGCCAAGGTGTTGCAGGCGAGAAGTACGACAGGTACAGAGGAACTTTGAAGGTAGAGGTGTGCTGAAGGCGCCGGGCCTGCAGGACATTACTGAGGGCTGGCCTCGTCAAGCTCGCCTTCGATTTCTATATGCTCAATTCGTGGCGCTCCAGCTGCTGCTTGACCATTCAGTGTCTTTTTGGCCTCCGCTACTGGCCATGCTTGCTCTTGGGCCATAGACGGCGCCGGCGAAGCTTCGCAAGTTGTGGCGTTTAATTGGTGCTGGGCATGAAGTCTTGTTCGCTTAATTTCTCCTGTTTTCTGAAGCTCAGGCTGTCACTGCCGCTGTCCACGGCTGGACTTGCTCGCTTGGACAGGGGAAGTTGACAGTTGCACCCGATCGTTTGCTTCATTGGAAGACTATTGGAAGAGCGGCACCCAATGGCACCTCTAGGTGCCTCTAGAGTCATCACGCTGCGCTAGACAACAGACAGGCAGCAACATCCTCAAAATCGGACAAGAGCGAAGTGGGTATCATCTTCGAGGCGTGCCCGTGTGCTCCACACTGACGGTTCTTCCAGGGATTCAATGACACACGTGATGTCCAATGAGTTGCTTTTTGTTGTGCAGCAAAAGACACGTAAGCCAAAGCTCCTCAATGAGTACACCCGTGTCAATTCTGCCTACAGGAATGCACCGGATACTTGGGGCTACGCAGTGCGGCCCATGCTACAGCGGTGGAGAATGAGGCCAGATGGAACCATCCAACTGATGGGTCCAGGTTGTCGCAGCAAGCAGCACAGACTCCAAAAGGCTTCACATCTTGCGCTGGTTGAATTGCAGAGCGACCGAAGACAGCCTGGAGGAACACACCTGTGAAATTTGCATCCGCAGACTCTGCAATGCATCAGTGAGTTTGACACCCCAGCGCCAGGGAATGGGTAACAACACCGTCTTGAGCTGCATTTCTGCAGTTCTTTGCAAGGCCTGGCTGCTCATACTAAAGTCTCTTCCCCTGAGGCTTCCGTAAAGCAGCATATCTTCTTGAGAAGCAGAAAGAGATTATTGATTGAAGAACCAAGTGACACATGGGTGGATGGGTAAGCTCTGTTAGTTGGTCAGTCAGCTTCCAGGCTGAGCCTCAAAGGCGATTTTCGCAGGATGGAACATGACGGCTTACTGATGTAAGAGGCTCTGCAGATGGCGGCAGGAGCTCGAGCAGGACATCTGATTTGAGTTCTGTTGCTCAACCCTGCGCAAGGCAATCCTTGCTGTTCTCCCAGAAGAGTCTTCGACGCGCGGCCAGAAGCTCCAGGCAAGGCCTGAAGTCGGGCATCATGGCAGGGCCAATTGAATCCGTTTCGTTAGCCCCATGAGGCCATCCTCCGGACTTCGGCACCGCTGCTTGCAGCTTCAGCTACAGGAGATTCTGAGGCGGGACGCTTTGGCAGTTTTAGGACGTGATGCTTCAGCTCCCGCTCCTGGGCTCAACTCGGGTCTTTGAGGCTGCACTTCAGTGCTTGGCCGAGGCAGCAGAAGGCTGGCAGCCTTGGAGAGAGATCTCTTGCGATGTTTCAGAAAGCTCAGACTGGAAAGGTGCTGACTCACCATCACCTACGCGTAAGCGCTGCAGAGGCTGAAAGCATCGAAAACGATGAACTCTCTCACGCATCTAGACCTGCGCTGCCCAGATTCGCTTGAATGTTTTTTCTGAAGCGAGCTGACTCGGAGTCTTAGAAGCTGCTCGCAGGAAAGGCTTCAGGCGAACTCTCTGCGCGGAAGAAGAGGCAACATCGAAAATGTCACTGCACATCACAAGCTGGGAAAAGTACTGCCCCATGAAGTAAGCTGACTTGTCGTAGAGGTTCGGATCATCGTCAAATCGCACATGAAACAGAGGGACACTAGGACGCTTACTTGCCAGGAAGGGAGGCTTGCATTGATGGTGGTTTAAACAAGCTGTAGCAGGCCAAAACAGCAGGTCAGACGTCTAGCAAATGCAGCAGTCTGCAGTGCTCTGTTATTAGGAGGTTTTCCTGGTGCTGTCATAGCATTGCTGGAGAGGCGCACCGCTGCTGCTGGCAAAAAAGGCTAGGATGTGGGAACCAGCATGCAGAATGTCCTTGCTTGTGGTTGTTGAAATCTAGGAGGGTAGGAGTGAAAGCACCAACATGAAATGCAGGCTGGTGCCAGAACTAGTAGGGTGTCAAAAGCAGCAGCCCATTTGAGCGTTTAGCAGATTGCCAAGATTGGCATGTCAGCATTGATGTGTGACAAATGTGACAAACAGCACATACGTTCTTATGCGCTCCAAGGCGGCATGAGCCCTTAATTCAAACCTGAGACCTCTCGGGTCAAATGCACGCGCAATCAGGACTTGATAGCATTAGCATGTGAGAACGAGGTATGCTTGTTCTCAACCAGCTTGCAGCCAAGTCTGAATCTCATGAGTTAGCAGAGCTGTTAGTCCGCATGGACGGTAGCAGCTATTCACTGTAGGTATGCCATGTATGCCTTTGCGATTGAGGTTCGACTGGGAAGCTGGAAGCGATACTAGCGGTCAAGCAGAAATATGCAGGAGTCGCCCATGCAAAACATTGCTTCTTGGGGATGTGCGTAATATCAGGATATACCATCTTCAGAAAAAGGCTTCCTACAAGAAGTTCACAACAAGTACAGCACTTGAGCTGCGACAAAAGGAAATGGCTTTGGCCCGTGTCTGCCTGGCCTGTAACGCCGGCTTCTTGAATAGTGCTTCCCTGCGAGTTGAAGCGTGGTGACATCTAAGAACCTGCTGTTGTATGAAACTAGGATTGGGGGTTGAAGGATTGTCACCACTGAAACTTGGATGTCACCGGGGTTTCGCTGCTGCATGCTGTGGGTGTCACGCATGCCTGAGCAGCTCGGGGCAAGGGACTTGCAAGGTTCCAGGAACTTGGAGGTGCAAGGCTCTGAATGCAGGCTGCAGTAGATTTGACTTCTGAAGCGCAGTATATTACATGCTGGCTGGTGTAGATTCATGGAAGATTTCTGGAGCCTTGCTAAGCTGGGTGTGGACTCAGTCTACAACACATTGAAACAACAAGTGCTGGATGACCATAGACATCATCTTCAAGCCAAACCTTAAGAAAGTGGTTCCATTGGCCTTCAAGTTGTGGCTCGTTCAGCAAACTTACAATGCAATGACTGAGTCTTTCATGCGCGGAATTGAAAACACTTTTGCTGGTGAAGCAGCTGTGGTCCTTTTACCGTTTTGCATCTCACCAGCAGGGCCACTCTACAAAATCCCAGCTCTGGAGCCAATATTCAGGTTGTTAGATGCACTGAGCTTGATCCTGTTTTGTCTTTTGACTTGCCTTGCTAATGGCTCAATGGCTCCGGAACGGTAGTCTACGCTAAATTTGCGTACCGTACCTATCAGCTTCCACCGCACGAAACCCCACCGTGCGACGTGAAGCAAACTCATGGCTACTCGGTGGCAGTAAGACGAAGGAAGGATCAGCCAGGTCAGTCCAGGCACATGCTTGAGGAGCGTGGGGCTGCCAAGACAAGTATAGTATTGTAACACGAGAGCGTTGCATCGGATTGACGGCCTCCTGTGGTTTATGCCACATCCTGAAGGGTGCAACCTTCCACTGCTGAGACTCTTTTCGCCTCCATGTTCAAGCTTTTCGCCGGCCTGGCTGTGGCCAACGCTCTTGTCCGCGAAGGAGCCGTCCCGGCCAGGGACTCGAAACCAGCACTGCCATCCTTCCTCTTCAGTGCTTCACGTCACCGGTGCATCAGAATGGAATTTCTGGTTAGTTGAAGCAGAACTCTCTGAGCCATGAATCAAGATGTTGGAGATGTAAGTTTCTAGCAGGCAAATCCGGTGGCAACGATCCCGCTTGACAAGCAGCAACCTGGATGCAAGGGAAGATTGTTGCCTGAAGCCTTCTCCTTAACGGCATGGCTGGGCAGCAAACTGAAGATGTATCAGCTGAAATTACGACAGCACGAAAGCTGAGTGATCTAAGGGCCAAGGTCATTTAGCCAACAAAAACTCGGGTCACTTAGCCAATCCCGAACCCGAACGGTTTCCAGTCACTTAGCCAACAAAAACACGGGTCACTTAGCCAATGTTCAGGGTTTTTGCGCGAGCGGTGTGGCGGTTTCCGCTTACTTGGCCGAAAAAGCCGGGGGTCACTTAGCCAATGTTCAGGGTTTAAGGTGTAGGGGTTTAGGAGGTTTCACTTAGGGCTTAGGCTTAGGGTTTAAGGCTAGGGTTTAGGGTCTCGGGTTTAGGGTTTTAGGGTTTAGGGTTTAGAGTTTAGGCTTCAGGGGTTTTTGGAATTAGGGTTTAGGTTTTTATAGGGTTTAAGGGTTTCGGATTTAGGGTTTAGGGGTTTCGGATTTACGGTTTAGGGCTCAGGGGTTTTGGATTTAGGGTTTAGGGGTTTTGGATTTAGGGTTTACGTGTTTTGGATTTAGGGTTTAGGGTTTAGGGTTTCGGGGTTCTGTATTTAGGGTTCAGGGGTTTTGGATTTAGGGTTTGGGGGTTTTGGATTTTGGGTTTAGGGATTTTGGATTTAGGGTTTAGGGTTTAGGAAATTTTGGGTTTAGGGATTTTGGATTTAGGGTTAGAGGTTTGGGATTTCGGGCTCAGGGGAGTTTTAGGATTTAGGGTTTAGGGTCTAGGGAGGTTTAGGGTTTGCGGGTTTTGGATTTAGGCTTCTGGGGTTTTGGATTTAGTGTTCAGGGTTTGGGGGTTTGGATGTACGGTTTAGGGGTTTTGGATTAAGGGTCTAGGGTTCAGGGGTTTTGGATTTAGGGGTTTTGGAGTTAGTGTTTAGGGTTTGGGGGTTTAGGGTTGGGGGTTTTGGGATTTAGGGTTCAGGGAGTTTTAGGATGTAGGGTTTAGGGGTCTTGGATTTAGAGTTTAGGGTTTAGGGTTTAGGGGTTTTGGATTTAGGGTTTAGGGATTTGGATTCAGGGTTCAGGGGGGTTTTAGGATTTAGGGTTTAGGGTTTAGGGGTTCTGGGTTTAGGGCGTGCACTCGATCTTGAGAGCCTCCATGCCCAAACCATGATAACGATCGTGTTCGAGTGCACTCGATCTTGAGAGCATATATGCCCAAACCAGAATGACGATCGTGTTCGAATGCACTCGATGATAAGATCATCCATGCCCAAGACATAGTGACATTCGTGTTCCCAGAGCATGCGGTTACCAGAGCATCCATGCCCAAGCGATACTTCCGTTCGTGTTCGAATGCACTCGATGATGAGAGCATCCGAATAATACACGTGTCAAAGCGACCCCAAAAACGTTTGCTAAGCGACCCTGGTTTTTGTTGGCTAAGCGATTTTTTTCCCTCTCAAGGCTGTAGCTTGTAGTTCACAGGCTGATCAGCAAGATTGGTTAATGTACTTTACTAGACTTAGCAGTAAGCCTGGGCACTGGCAAAGTACAGCTATTTGTCAACTGTCTGCCTAGCAGTTGCAAGGAGTTTAGCTGTGTCTGCTGTATACATGGAAGAGCAAATCTCACAGCAAAGTGCGTTGCCAGGTATGTGCCGGTCATCCGCAACAACAAGATTGTCTCATACAAGACTGCTTACTTCGGCAAGATTCACGTCGGTATGCCAAGGAGAGTGTTTTTCCAAATGGAAACATACAAATAAAAGGCAATTTTCTCATGACTAGAGGGACGCCAAGTGCTAGGCACAATGCGGTTGATTGTGCCTCACCTGAACAGCACATGCCAGCTACCAATTTTGTTAACACAGTCGCGCTGCTGCCAGGCAACAGACGTTCACGGTGGTTTTTGACACCGGATCCCTGGCTGATACTGCATATGCAGAGGTTCCAATTTTCTCAGCTTGAATCAAAGCTTCAAGCAAATACTCAGCGGTTGAGTCTTTGTTCCTGATTCATGAATGGCCCACAGAGAAGTGCGAGGAACAGCAAGATCTAGCTGAGCTGAAAGCAAAGGTAGCGCCCACCTCTTCGTGCCCTCTGCAACGTGCAACACGGAGACTTGCAGCTCAGCTTGGAATTCAGGCCAGCATACAGATCCGCAGAATTGCGGAAGAGCGTATAGATCACAAGCGTCCACAGATGGATGATTCCCTCTTTTGCAGTAAGGCATGCGGCACCGTCGCTTTTTCCGTCCTGGCCTGAGCGGCCCGTCCTTTGGTATGTCCGCCCGGCATCCAGCCGACAACGTGAAATACATATATGTATATATATATATACATATGAGATCTCATTGGCTAGCTTAGCATGGTTTGCTGATCCAACTCCTCAATTATAGCAGGAAATGAGTCGGGCACCGCAGTTGACATCGATCACGATGGCAACCCTGTTGCCTGGCAGCACAAGTCAAGATGACAATTCATCCGCAAAGCTTCAGGGCTGTATTTCCTTATCGGCAATTCTGGAATTGGCCTATCACCGTCTGCCAGGTCAAAAAAAACTCGACGCGGCGTGATCAGGTGGGGCGGTGGGGCGCAATTTGTATGTCACAGCTGGTGTGTGATGTGACAGCTTGCAAAGAAGCTGATGTACTGACTCCAATGCTCAAGTTCTGCCTGCACAGACGTGCATTCCGTTGCATTGCCTGCAAGGAAATTGCATGTGGTAGCATCCCCTGCAGGTGAACATTGCTTTTGGAACTGGTGAGGCCTGTCATGAGATCTGCGCATCAGCGATGAAGTGAGTTGTGCGCACAGCCTTTTTCCTCTCGCAGGTCACCGGGGAGTTTGTGCGGGAGACTGTTTGCCTCTCGCCTCACGAGCCGTCCACCGAGGCCAGCAGCAACTTCTTCGGCACGTGGCAACATGCTACTCGTTGCTCATGTGCCACAGGTTGCACCACTCGGATCTGCCGCAAAGGCCTTCGTACATCATAAGTGAGTACTAAAGGTTGCCACTATTTGCATTGGTTTACTCTTCACGGCGCTTCATGAGCGATATCAAGAGCGATGTGTGAAAATGCTTCTGGACAGGATTGCACAGAGCTTCGAGTCATTTTGGCCAGCGAGATGACAAAGGCCCCGGCTGGGATGGCAGGGGATGTTGCCAGGGATGTCCCTGGGAGCTTACGGCACATCAGCAGAGTGCTTTGTAAAATCTAACAGGAGCCATTTATGACCTTCGAGTTTGATGGTGTCCTCGGCTTGGGCCTTGCCAGTCTGGCAGTGGACCCCGAGTTCAGCCCCTTGGCCAGCTTGCTGTTGTCCGTGAATGCAGCATCAGATTCTTGAAATATGATTGTAAACTCACGCAGGTAGACGTGCGAATGACAGCAGTAGCCAGCACAATGTGACGCCTAGGCTTCTTTGGCCAGATGTCAAAGATGCGACTTGGCAGTAGGTACGTAACGCATTGGCCTACATTTCAAACAGCAGGCTTCCGCGTAAACATGTTTTGTTTGTGGATTTTGGCTCGCATTCCCAGCATGGTCGACAGGAAGCTTAGTGGTGTTGAGTCGTGAGGCACTGGAAGACAGAGCAATGCTTAATTGTCATGCACAGCACCGTCCCAGCTAGGCCTCACAGGACAGAATTTGTTCTGGTGTAGTTCATGGAACACAATGATATTGTCGGTGCATGGTAATCGCAAGTCCATTGTAAGATTGGTTTTTGCAGATACCTTAGGAACGGCCTCAAAGAGCAAACCTTTGGCTACTTCCTCTCACGCTCCGACAACGTGCTCACCTCAGGTTTGTGATGGAGCTTGGATCAAAGGGCTGGCAGGTCACGTCTCACAAACCTTCGGCTTCCATCCTTCTAAGTATACGTCTGCTTCAGATAAATTTAATCCATATCAAAAAGCTGTGCTTTTTCCTTGTCCTAAAAACTGGGCATTTGGCAATGCAAGTCACTGAACAGCTGCTAGGCTACCTGAGCCTGGACGCACATGAATGTGACATGCAATTGTCAACACAAATCTTTGCACAAGTTGCAGGATCTTTGGTGCTGTTTATCTTTGCTCCTGGTCTCCCAGGCTGTTGTCGCAACAAGTGATGTTGCAAGTGTATAGAGCACCTGAGGTGCCAAGCGAGATCTCCTTCGGAGGTGCAGCAACCGCAGATGGGGCTTCTGACAGGTTGTAAGTAGCACGGGATGATCAAGCCGTCTCGCAATCATTACTGTACCTGGGTCGACTACGTTTTTGACCAAGAGCTCGAAAGCAAAGTAGTGCTCAGGCCACGATGCTCGGAGATTGGCATCGCCACTTCAATGGGTGCCTGTGCACAAGCCAGATCCTGGACGGCAGGGCAAGAAAAAGGCAAAGCAAAGCTCGGATGCAGCAACAACTAAACGTTTATAACCATTGCTTCCGACATGAATCATGTCATATCTTTACTTGCAGAATGCGGAGGGGGCTGCCCCTTCAGACTCCATGTGTTTCAACATGTTTCAACACTCGCACATGCCTTCGCATGCCAACTAGCAGCCCTGCTCAATGTACAGACTGCCACCCAGGCTAGCAACAGCTAGCCTATACCCACTAAGGAGCTGGGATATTGGCAGTTGAGGCGCAAATGCTTGTACGACATGTGCATAGAAGGGGCTCGGCACAGCTTATCTTGCAATGACTTTCCTTCAGATTCTGGCGCATTCGCATGTCAATCCTACGGTCGCAAGCAGGCTTGACAGAACAAATCAGGCAACATTCCCAGCGGGAAGCACAGACTTTCAAGTTTGGCCCACTTGCAGTCTGAGGTGTAAGAGGAGGTTGCCTAAGTCGAAAGCTAGATTCCAGCCTGTTGCGCGGAGAAAATCATTCAAAGCAGTGTCCGCAAGCAACTTTTACTCACATATAATGGGCTTGCAATGCGGGGCTTAGCTCAGCACAGGCTGCTTGGTGTCGTGGTTGCTGGAGAGAGACTTCCCCTCTGTGAAGAAGGAGATTGCGATTCTTGCCAGCATCATTCAGATGGAGTAGCTTACGTTGTGTCTCACAGAAAGCTTAGCCTCTGCTTCTGGCTTGACACAATTGCTGAGATTGCTATCGCTGATACCGGCACTTCCCTGCTCGGTGCACCTCGAGCTGTCACCCAAAGAATGCGACTTGGTGGCAGGCTGCCCCGGGCCCACAAGTCTTATCGATGTCACAACTCCAGAACCTGCAGTGGCAACATGGTATGATGTGCAAGAGCAGTGAGGCCTGCTGTAGTTTGCTTGCAGAAGCTGGTTGGGCACAGCTTTGCAGAGCCAAGGCATTGGCTCTTGGCGCGAAAGGCTCGCGTTGTAAAGAGATCTTACATGGGAGCCTTAAGTCCCTTTCTGCCCCTGCTTAGGTGCCAGAGAATCCAGCCGAAATCGACTGCCGGACGTTTCCTGGCCCGGAGCGAGTTGTTGCCAATTGCATGTGGCCTGTGGAGAATAGGTGATTGTCATAGCGTCTCTAGAGCGGCAACAACAAAAGCGAACCCCTTTGAGGATGTATGCCATAGCAAGGTGTCAACCAATCCAGCAAGCAGATATTGCTAACATAGGACTATCATGGGTGGAGCAGCTGCAAACCAGCTCTTGGCATGGAGTTTGGCACCGCTATCACCAGTGACAGCACCTATATTATATCTTATCTCAGCTGTTGAAATGGATCAAGCATAAACAACCTACCCAGACAGGAGCTCATCTTCCAGCTGGAAGATGGCGTGAACGTCACCATCGGAGCGGAGGACATCCTTCGGGAAGGGCTGAAGCGGTGCACAGCGCAAGCCGTCCCAAAAGGAAGGTAAGTTGACATGAGATGTACGTAGGGAGGCAGAAAGGTGGCAGGCAAAGACAAATGGCCGCCTGTCCCGCAGGACTACTCTCGTGCCACAGGCATGCGCGTCCTCAACAACAAAACAAACTCATCGCAGGCCCTCGGACTTTGAAATGGTGAGCAGACCTGCTTTGACTCAGGATGATTTGGTCCCAGGGTGCAATCGATCATTTGTCCCTTTTGAGGTCATAGCACAGATCATCAGTCAAAGGGCAACAAAACTCCCAACAAGAAAGGAGCCATGATTGCAGCGTACGTGGCAAAAAGAAGGAGCCCACAGCGTATGGCAAGCCTTCAGCAAATTCAACTTCAAGAGCTGATACCTCCCTCATTCTTGATGAAAAGTCAAACACCAAGACATCCTCAGCAGCCATCCCGCCAGCTCATTTGCCGCGCCTCGCTGCTTCCGGTGGACGATGGAGAGGTCCTGGGGCCGAAGGCAAGGCAGTCTGAGAAGAAGCAGCTTGCCATGGCTTGCAGTTCCAGTGAGAAAATGGAAGCAGGCGTTCATTCTGGGCGAGCCGGCTTTGCGCAAATACTACACCGCGTATGACTGGCCTCTTGCCTAAGCTGAGTTTCGGATCGGTCTTGGGATCGAAGAAGCACTCGCCTTCGACGCTTTCACTGCTGGTGGAAGCACGAGATTGTACAAAGGTCTTGTGGTTTGCGGGGAGGGAGAACAGAATGCAAAGCTGAGGAAGCGACAGCGAATTGGCTTCGGGCTTTCCGCAACTTTGGCTTCAACGTAAGAGAGTTCGTGCGTCGGGATTTGTAAAGTCTGACTTGGGCCGCGGCGGTGCGCATTACGTAGGCAGCATGTGATGGCTTATATACTACTGCTTCCAAACCTTGAGGCTGATCGCAGGTTCAAGAATGTGGTTCCGCAGAGACGAAAGAATGCCCCATAACAGGTAATGCATAATTCGATTCAATGAGACCATGCTACAACGATATGTGTCCACGAGGGAGGTGGGGTGGTTTTGGTATTTGCATGCACGGGGGAGAATCGGCTCATGAGCCGAAAATGACGCTTGGCAGAGTGGGTGGCGAGATACATTTGAGGAAAGATTCAGGTATATGAGCTGTTGCCAAATTGCAAAGCATGAACTTAGAGGTCGCAGCCACGTAGTCCGGAAAAGACAGCACTATCATGAGACCCACATTCACGTTTGTGAAGCAGGTTCAGCCTCAGCCGCAAGAAGTCCCTGCCGAACCTCGCCATTCAATCTATGGCGCATGAACCTCAGCCTGCTGTCAAAGTTCCGTGCAGAATTTGTTGGTTGCCTCGCACAGAATATCATCCAAGGCACCTCCGTCCGGACCACCAACACCAACTGAAGTTGTTGTTTGAGGGATCCGACGCAGCGCGAATTCCAGCAAATATGATTGCCAGTTGTTGCGAAGTTCACTAACTGAGCCGCAATGAGAATATTTATTTTCTTTATGGTGGACTCAGCTAGGAAACAATGCGGATCTCCCCAAATCGCCCTTATTTCTTGATTTTCGTAATTTTCTATCATTGCCAGGTCGAGATCCTATTCCTATCATACAAATTATTCTTGGCTAGCTTTTTTTTAGACGATATATAGAGGCCTGAAAATTTCTTCAATTATCATGAAATGAACAACGAAAACGAATTTAATTCAAAAATTGATTTCTTTTTTTTCCGAAAGAAATTTTTGATATAGAATCTTATTATAGATATATAGAATATATTTTGAAATCTTTAGATTAAAGATTTCTGATCTGCAATATTTTCATAATTCGTTTCTGATATGAAGAAGATGAGGTATTAGTCGCGTTTTCAAAAATTCATAGGTTTCTATATAGAATTCGAAAATTCATATATAGATCGAATATATGAAGTTCGTCCAAAAATCTATATTTCAAAATCTTGAAGTACGGGGACGCATGATGATATTCTGTACGAAAAATTCATGGAAGGATGAAAAGGCAATCCTAATAATCCTAACAACTGCGCTTGTAGCATGGTATACTTGAATAGTTGCGTATACATACGATTTTTTCTTTGATAGGATTGTTTTGGCTCTCACGAGTAAGCTTTCTTAAGAAAATACGCGTGGGCGCTTGTTGTAATGCGGTAAGTCTAGTAATTCTTAGTATAGAAGAATTGCTAGTGCTATTGCTCGCATCCTCAATATTATTATCTATCAATATTTATCAATTCGCTGTTGAGGCAGACGTTGCGGAACGGATTTTCATGAAAGAAATACGAAAGGCGCGTATGGCCCGGACAGGTAGTTGGCCAATCGGATTTCTATGAAAAGCCTAGTTTTACGCGAATATTATTGAGTTTCTAGCTTAGCCTGCAAATTTGCGGAATGGATTTAGACCCATTTTTTAGATACGTATCTATTTAGACCTCTTGCTCATATAGATCTCCAATAATTTATAAGTATTCAATAAATCTTTCAAATATAGGATATATAAATAGGATTTAGATAAGATTTGAGATTTGTTGCGCATCTCAAGAAAATATTGCTGGCGAAAACCGATGAAAGGGTTGGTTTTTGGGAGAAGGAATATTGGTCAACCTCTATATATTGATATTTGAAATATATAATATTAAAGAATTAGAAAGGAATTAATTCTTATGAAAATAGATAATATTCGATTGAATACGTTAATATTAAAATACGATCCCTTACGATTATTTCCGCCGCACGCGGCTTAACTTTTCCGGCTTACTTCTAAAATACCTCTTGCGGGCTCCCTAGGAGTTCCAAATCTCGGAGATTTTTAGAATCTTCCATAAAAGCTAGAGATTTCAAATCTCCGGGATTTTTGGGACGGACGGCGCTAGCAAAAATCTCGAAGATTTTTGGCCGCCCGATTTTTCTCCCTCGGAACGACTTTTCGTGGGATTTATCTCTCTTTAATCTTGTTGCTCCGGAACGATATTTTACGTGAATCATTTATCTTTGGCCGCATATGCGGATGATCGATATAATATATAGATCCGGAATAGAAGGCCCAAATTTTTCAGGATTTATAGATTGATCATAGCAATTATCTACGAGCATTTATGCGCTCTTCCCATCCGCCGCGCCGCACAAATGAGATTTCTCGAGATTTCAAATCTTTTCTTTCTCTTTGACTATCTGCGCAGCACCTCGGCGGAATATATAGATCCGAATTGATATTCAAAATCTTTCAGAATCTATAGATTAGTCGTTTCTGATCAACGATAAAAATATCCGCAGCTAATAAGAATAATATTTGCTATGGCAATTTCTTATAGAAAGATCTGATGATATTCTCCTA